TTATATAAATTAATATTTTAATTTTCGTTAAAAAAATTAACAAATTTACTCCTCCTCAGGCCGTCCAAGATCTAGATGAGTTTGTTTCCTGATCAGGACAGATTTGGAGAAATGTAGCATTACATCACTTGCTCAATGGGTCTTCTGCAATGAATGGGTGCCGTCAGAATGAGGGTTCAAACAGCTGATGAAAACATCACGATAATTCACACGACTCAAGTAAATCGATTAATGTAAATCTGCTTCTCACAAGCACATCATTAAGGTGTTTTAACATTGTCCATCGGTCCATCTGAAATTGTGTACTGTCTGAGTAGGCACTACATTTCAATTTGAACTTACTTCACAACTGGTAAAAAGGTTCTATATAGTATGAATATGGAAGAAAGTCAGATTTGTCAGATGTATCTGCCATGTCAAAACGCATAAACATATTTGTTTAGAACTTTTTGGACTGTTTTCACTTGTGTATGGTGCTTAATCTGTGCATATTTCTCTCCTGATTCAGATGAGATTGCTTTTCTTCTGGAGAAAGCAATATTATGGATGGAGGACTCAAAACTGTTCTGATGAGGAAACAAACGTATCTACATCTTTGATTGTCTTCAGATGAATACATTTTCAGCGAAACTTCATTTTTGGGCAAACTGTTCCTTTAATATTTGGATAAGGAATATTGTATTTAAAAAATAATTTTTCTCAAAAGTTTGTTTGAGATAACAGTAACTAGCAAGCCTTGCTGAAGACCCTTGCCCTGCAATGTTAGGGAGCTATTGAATCAGTCTGAAATTAAAATATGTAATTGAAATGTAATCTTTGTCTCTATGCCAGTTCAGTACTTCTATATTAAATCTCTAATGCTATAATGCTAATGGCATATTCAACATTTTAATTAAGCGATTAACAATGCTTAAAATAAAATCAATACAATTTAGAAAATCCTAAAATCCTTTTCGCTGTTATACATTCCCTCCTCTGTTCTCTGCAGTGTGAACATTTCCTGTCTAGTGAAAGTTTGTTTTGTTTTCATTTTTTTGGATTACGACACTCTAAAACAATAGATACCGGTGCCAGTCATCATTACTCATTATACGAGAATTTTAATGAGAAATTTGTACCATTGTCATGTTTATGGAGACCTAGAAATATAATATGTCACAGAAAAAAGGAAGTGAAAGCTGAAGAAATGAGATTGCGACGGGAACGATGCGGTTCTTTTCTTTCTGGTGTTACACAACATGGTGCTCTCAACAGATAAAACACATTCCACACTAAAACAAAAAATATATATATTTGAACTAAATGATTATAAAATTTCTACAGTTAATGTAAAGGCATAGTTCACCTAAAAATGAACATTTGCTGAAAATGTTCTCACCCTCAATCCATCCAAGGTGTAGATGAGTTTGTTTCTTTATCAGAACAGATTTGGATGAATTTATGGATGGATCCTCTGCAGTGAATGGGTGCCGTCAGAATGAGAGTCCAAACAGCTGATAAAACATCACAATAAACCACAAGTAATCCACATGACTTGTGAAGCGAAAAGCTGCATGTTTGTAAGTAACAAATCTGTCATTAAAATTTTTAACTTTTAAACCGTTGCTTCTGGGCACAATATGAGTCCATAACCCATAATAATGCTTCCTCCAAAATCCACCAACATACAGTAGATGATTAGAACTGTTTTGGACGGTTTTTGCTTGTAAATGATTCTTCATCTGTGTGAAATCAGACAAGACGACTTTTTCACATGATAAAGCAATATTATGGAGGGAGGACTGGTCTTGAAGTTAAAAATGTCTTGATGGATTTGTTTCTTTTTACAAACTCGCAGCTTTTGCTTCATAAGCAGTCAATTGATGGACTGGAGTTGTGTGGATTATTGTGATGTTTTTATCAGCTGTTCGAACTTTCATTCTTATATACCTTTACTTTAAAAGTATAATTTTCTTGTTTTGTGTAAAAATGTACTTAATTTATGTTTAAACTCATGTTTAATTAATTAATTAATACAAAATAATTTGAAGACTATTTTAGTATTTTTTTTATCATGTAACCTTCCATTGTATAACCTGTGGTGTTATCAGAAATAGCTCAAACAGGTGGGTGTATTAACACACACACACACACACACACACACACACACACACATTAATATTTATATATATTCACCAAAATTCCTGTAATACAATACTTGTAGCAACATCATTAAAACCCTGTGGTGTTATCAGAAATAGCTCAAACACGTGGGTGTATTAACACACACACACACACACACACACACACACACACACACACACACACATACACATACATTAATATTTATATATATTCACCAAAATTCCTGTAATACAATACTTGTAGCAACATCATTAAAAAGTCCATTACAATATAATAAACTGGTCCTGATCAGCCTGTTTGTTTGTTCATTATTCCTCACAAATATCATTATATGTTGACCTACATCTATGGGCTTGCAGTATCTTTAAACCGCTTTCCCACTCCATAAATTGTTATGGACTCGCACATGCAGTCGTAAGGTATGAGTTTACTATCAGTCGAGGTGAACAACTGCATACCGTTTACTTTTTTTTTTTTTTATCTCCAAGCAATGTCACATAAATTCTTTCATCCTTCCAGGTAGCTTTATCTGCAGACGGAACAGACGCAGTTAATCACAGATACTCTCAGGACAAATAAAGTCCAATATACCTTAGGACAAGAACCACAGATGTCAACAAGAAGTTTGTGAGGTCTATCTAGCAGTCTCGTGTTGGTTTTTCCTTGTTGGGTAGATCTTCAGATACACCATACTGATTTAGAAATGCCCAGGTGTGGATAGCAGGAGTGTAGACACAAGGCTGACATATCTGTGTGGCCTAAAGGGAACCGATGCCCTCATCGATCTTGTTTTCAGACTCCAAAAAGTTTTTTGCTTAAGCAATAGCAGAACTTGCTGCTACAGTATATGAAGACATCAGCCCACAGCACTGGTGATTTAGTGTCAAATGTGCAGATGGCTAAGTGGTTACACATTAATTGTGTGAGGGCTTGGTGGGGCAGGACACTTTGACTCTGAACCACTCAGAGTTCAAAGAGCAGCAGCATCAGAGATCAGCTTACAGTTGAGTAAAAACATGATTCCACAGCAGAAGAACAAGAGTTCATGTTTGTGACCCCAAAGGGCTGTTTTTCCCATTTAGTTTGAAAAGTCTGTGCTTATAAAATGGCAATTTTACCATGTTGCCCAGATATCAGATACAACTATTTTACAATACATTTTTTTTTGTTTTGTTTTTGTAATGCTTCATAATAAGTTTTGTTCGCAAACATAAAGCTTAACTGATCAGTTGTTCGTGTTTGAATGTATTGGGGACTGGGGATACTTAAAAAAAATAAAATAAAAAATCTGGATAGGTTTTTGTATTCTTTCGGTAGCATTCTTTTTGTAAGATATACAAAGTAATGAATGCATGCATAGATAGATAGATATAGATTTAGTTCTTTCATGTAAGAAAATATATGACCAGAGTTTAATACTTTCAGTGCAAATAACCATCTGTTGTGCAATATCTAATATAATAATTTATGTTAACATTATTAAGGAGCGTTATTATTGTTATTATTATTATTAGAGAAAAGACATATCAGTAAAAATAGTTCTAAATGACGTAAATGATGATGTTGTGTACACTTATAAACAGGAGTTAGTCAGTAGGTAGGCTAGCCTATCTATCCTTATTTTGTAGAAAATTGTATGTTTTTTTTTCTCCAAAAACGCATTGAACCAACATACATTTCCCCCCCGAAAATGGACCCTTTTTGTCATCTCGGACATACGTATTTTTTATGTAATGGTTATACATGGTTCTTACTGCTTTGTACAGCAGTGTTTGGCAGCAGTGTTTTGCCTGTTGCAGAGTGCGTTATTTTCCGGTGCAGATTTGATCGCTTTTGCCGTTCTGCAGGTGCGTCAGTTTTTAATCTGCCCAGTAGGTGGGACTTGATGCTCGGAGCATGGACCTCTCTCTCTCTCTCTCTCTCGCTCTCTCTCTCTCTCTCTCTCTCTCTCTCTCTCTCTCTCTCTCTCACACACTAGACTGCGCTCTGACGCTTTAGTCTTCAAGCCAGAGATCCAACAACCTGGAACTACGCGACAAACAGCACCGAGGAGACAGGGAAGCTTCCCTCTCTCTCTCTCTCTCTCTCTCGCTCTCTCTCTCTCTCTCTCTCTCTCTCTCTCTCTCTCTCTCTCTCACACACTAGACTGCGCTCTGACGCTTTAGTCTTCAAGCCAGAGATCCAACAACCTGGAACTACGCGACAAACAGCACCGAGGAGACAGGGAAGCTTGTACCATGCAGCTCGGAGAGGAGGACAGCCTGGGACCGTTTGAGCCCTTTCTACATTGACGGAGTATTTCCCCCCTCTTTTCTTGGGGACATTATTACGATCTCTTTGATCTGACATACCTTCACTCTCATCCACGCCCCCGCGCGCTCTCTCGCATCACCGTACAGA